GCTTGCCGCGCTGCCCTTGCCGCTTGCCGACGCGCTCCAGCAGCGCGTACGCGTGCAGCAGGACGAACTCCAGCAGCACCGTCGTGAGCAGCAGGACCGGCGCCAGCCACACCATCGTGAGCTGCTCGACGGACTCCAGCAACACAATCGCGAACAGCACGACGGGCGCCAGCAGCCGCATCGCGAGCAGCACGACGAACCCCAGCAGCACGATCGTGAGCAGCGTGGCGGACTCCAGAAGCATCATGGTGCGCAGCAGGACTGACTCCAGCAGCACGATCGTGAGCAGCACGACGACACCCGGCCGCACCATCGTGACCAGTACGACAGACCTCGACAGCGCGTCTGTGAGCAACACCACGTTCACTGCAGCGAGACCGCGAGCACCACGATGGACTCCAGCAGCATGATATGGTTTGCAGCATGACGGACTCCAGCAGCACAACCGTGAGCAGGACGATGGACCCCAGGTTTGCGACTGGGGGCAGTACGACGGACTTAAGCAGCACAGCCGTGACCAGCAGGACGGGCGCCAGCAGCACCATCGTGAACTGGACGACGGACTCCAGCAGCGCGACCGTGAGCAGCATGACGGACTCCAGTTGCAGCATCGGGAGCGCTACGACGGACCCCAGCAGCTCGATCGTGCGCAACATGACGGAGTCCAGCATCACGACCGTGAGCAGCCAGACGGACTCCAGCATCGCGCCCGTGAGCAGCGCGACTGACACCAGCAGCACTACAGCACCATCGTGAGCGGCACGATTGACTCCATCAAAGCGTTCAGGCGCATCACGACGAATTCCAGCAGCGAAATCGTGAGGAACATGACGGAATCCAGCGCGGCCTCTCGCGGCAAGACGGACTCCAGCGCCATCGTGAGCAGCTCGACGGACTCCAGCAGCGCGATCTCGAGCCTCACGGCGGCTTCAAGTGGCAGCATCGCAAGCAGCATGACGGACCCCAGCAGCAGGGTTGTGAGCAGCATGGCGGACTCCAGCAGCATCATCGTGTGGAGCGCAGCGGGCTCCAGCAGCACGATCGTGAGCAGCACGACGAATTCCGGCAACGCCATCGTGACCAGCACGACGGCTTCCAGCGGCAACATCGCGAGCAGCAGGACGGACTCCAGCAGCGCGACCGTGAGCAGCATGACGAAGTCCAGCAGCATTGCGGCTTGCACCACGACGGACCCCAGCAGTTCGATCGTGCGCAGCATGAGCGACTCCAGCAGCGCGACCGTGAGCAGCCAGGCGGGCTCCACCATCGCGACCGTTAGCAGCACGACGCATCGCCATCGTGAGCGGCACGACGGACCCCAGCAGCGCATCCGTGAGCATTACGACGGACTCCAGCAGCACCATCGCGAGCCGCACGGTGGGCTCCAGGTGCACGACCTTGAGCAGTGCGACGGACTCCAGCGGTACAACCGCGACCAGCAGGATGGGCTCCAGCGGAACCATCGCAAGCAGTTGGACGTATCCCAGCAGCACGACTGTGAGCAGCATGGCGAGCTCTAGCAACATCGCGGCTTGCAGCACGACGGACCCCAGCAGCTCGATCTTGCGCATCGTGGCGGATTCCAGCATCACGACCGTGAGCAGCCAGGTGGCCTCCAGCACCGCCACCGTGGGCAGCGCGACGGGCACCACAAGCACCATCGCGAGCGGCACGACGGCCCCCGGCAGCGTGCCTTGTCGCAGCGCGACGAATTCCAGCAGTTAGATCGTGAGACGCACTGCGGACTCCAGCAGTGGCATTCGGAGCTGCGCGACGGACTCCAGCAGCGCGACCGCGTGCAGCAGGATGGAGTCCACCAGCACCATCGTGAGCGGCATGATGGGCGCCAGCGGCACTATCGTTCTGCGCGGCCCAAAAGGGTGCCCAGCTACAAGGGAGTGGTGCGTTAGATCTGGAGCACTAGATCTGTGGCTTGCAACATGTTTGGGCGTGCACTGCATTCCGGGGCGCAGACATGTAGTTGGATTTTCGCGTGAAGTGCATTAGTCCTTGTGGAGCGCGATGTAACTCTCCAGCGCAATGCGTTTGCAATTCAATTGCCCCAGCTCTACTGCTCCGCCCCCTTTCTGCTGGACCACCTTTCAACCGAACTCGCGAGCAACCCGACGGACTTCAGCAGCGCCATCGCGAGCAGCGTGGCGGACTCCAGCGGCAGCATCGCGAGTAGCGTGACAGACCCCGGCAGCGCGTTCACGTGCAGCATGGCGGACTCCAGCAGCCCGATCGTCATCGGCACGCAGAACTCTGGCAGCACCGTCGTGACAAGCGCGACGGGCCCCAGCAGCTTGTCTCTGAGCAGCGCGACGGGCTCCAGAAACGAGACCGTCAGCAGCACGATGGACTCCAGCAGCATGGTCGTGAGCAGCACAATGGGCCCCAGGTGCGCGCCCGCGAGCAGCAGAACGGACTTCGGCAGCACGACCGTTACCAGCAGGACGGGCGCTAGCAGCGCCATCGCGAGAAGGACGGCGGACTCCAGCAGCGCGACCGCGAGCAGCATGACGGACTCCAGCCGCGGCATCGCGAACAGCACGACGGACCCCAGCAGCGCGATCATTCGCAACATGCCGGACTCCAACTGCACGGCGCTGAGCAGTCAGACGGACCCCAGCATCGCGACCGCGAGCATCGCGACGGACACCAGAAGCATCATCGCGAGCGGCACGACGGGCCCCAGCAGCGCGCCTTGTCGAAGCGCTTCGAATTCCAGCAATTAGATCGTGCAAGGCTCGACTGGCTCCAGCAGTGTCAGGAGCTGCACGGCGGGATCCGGCAGCGCGACGTTGTGCAGCAGGACGGATTCCGACATAACCATCGTGACCAGCGCGACGGGCCACGGCAGCACCATCGCGAGCAGCTCGACGGACCCCAGCAGCGCGATCGCAAGCAGCGCGATGGACTCCTTCTGGCGATGGCATCGCGAGCAGCAGGGCGGACCCCAGCAGCGCGACGCTGAGCAGCATGGCGGACTCCAGCAGGACCACGGTGAGCAGCGCAGCGGACCCCGGCAGCACGATCGTGGGCAGCGCGACGGACCCCGCCAGCACCACCGTGAGCAGCACGACGGGCCCCAGCCGCGCGCCCGTGAGCAGCCCGACGGGCTCCCACACCGAGACCGCGAGTGGCAGGACGGACTCCACCAACGGCGTCGCGAGCTGCGCGGCAGACTCCATCAGCGCGTCTTCGAGCAGCAGGACTGGCTCCACCAGCGCCATCGCGAGCAGCGCGGCAGGCACCAGCAACGCCATCGCGAGCGGCGCGACGGACTCCAGCAGCGCGACCGCGACTGGCATGACGGACTCTACCTGCTGCGTATCGAGCAGCCCGACGGACTGCAGCAGCACGATCTCGAGCAGCATGACGGACTCCAGCAGCGACGTCGTGATCGGCGCGATGGACTTCGGCAGCGCGACCCTGATCAGTGCGACGGACTCCATCAACGCCATCGCGAGCAGCAGTGCGGAAACCAGCAGCGTGACCCGCAGCAGTATGGTCGGGCTCCGGCAGCGTCAGCATGAACTGCTTTGTGGACCCCAGTCCGCGAGCAGCGCGACGGATTCCAGCAGTGCGACCGTGAGCAGCGTGGCGGACCCCAGCTGCGACACCGGGAGCACCACGACGAATTGCTGCAGCAGCACGAACGCAAGCAGCAACGACGTCTTCCAGCAACGCCATCGCGAGCAGCATAGCGGGCGCGAGCAGCACCAGCGCGAGCAGCTCGACGGGCCCTATCAGCGCGGCCACGAGCAGCATGGCGGATTCCAGCGGCAGCATCGCGAGCGGCACGACGGATCCCAGCGCTATCACGAGCAGCGCGACGGACTCCAGCAGCACTATCGCGCGCGGCACGACGGACTCCAGCAAGACCATCGGGAACCCCGGCCCGATGAGTCGGCGTCGGCCTGCTCGCCTCGTCCGCGCTGGCACGACTCCTGCCCTCTTGAGCTGAGCTGCGGAGGCCGCCGCGGCCGCTGTCGCCTCCGCAGAGGCAAGCGCCGCCGCTATCTGCCGCTCGGTGGATGGAGGCCAGCGCGCGCCCCTGCTGGCCGAAGACGATGCTCCGGCCACGGGGGGGCCCAGGCCGTGGAGGCGGGACATGGCGCGCGCGGGCCCGCCGGGCCTGGCCCCGCCCTCGCCGCCAGGGGCGCCTCCCACCCCGGCGGCGAGCCTGCCAGTCCTCACAAACCCTGGGCCCCCCAGGTGGGCGGCCGACGCTGCGCTGCAGCCCGGCCGCGGCGGCGGCCAGAGACCCGGCCTGTGCCGGCTCTGCTCGGCGCACTGGCTCGGGCGGTTCGGGCGACGACGCCCCCCGCGACGCCGACGACGTCGCGGAAGAGCCGGGCTCGGGGGCCCGGGCCCCCCCCCCCCGGCGCACGTGCAGACGCCCCGATCGACGTCCTGACCGACGCTTCGGACGAGGCCGCAGCCAACAGCGCCACCGGCAGCCCTGGGGGTCGCGAGCGGCCGCTGGAGCTCCAGACCCCGTGTGTCTGCGCCGTTCTTCGAGCCGGTCGAGCTGTAAGGGTCCCGCGCCCCGAAACCCGGCGAACACGTGCATTGTGAACAGAAAGACGGAAGGCCCGCTGGATGGGGTCCAGGGCGGGCCCAAGAAATCCGCGCGGACCTCCGAAAATGTATGTGTGTGCAGTTTGTTGTTCTTCGAGTATTTCCTTCCCCTGGAGTTGTTTCCGTCCCTTCGAGCTAAATTGTGCTTTGACAATTTCGTGGGCCTTTTTTGTTTTGATTTCGCTTCGCAGCAAAAGTGGAACGAAGACAGAACGAGGGATCACGAACAAACGTGTAAACGGAAAACACTGTTTAGATCGAGTCGTGCCGCAGGGGCCGAAACCCAGGAACAACAACAAGTGTTTGAAAACATCAATCGTCGGATGGTCCTGGGGCTCGGCGCCCGGCGAGAACTCGCGTCGCGCAAAGCCCGCAGCTCCCAGATGCCAGCAGAGCGCCAGCCCGCCATGGCCATGGATCAGCAGCCGGGCTCTTCCGCGCCGTCGCGGCCACACCGCGCCGGCCCTGCCGGGGCCCCCGAGCCGGGGGTGCCGCCCGAGGAGGCCGTCGATGACCCGCTCGGCAGGCTGCTTGCGCCGCACGGGCTCGACCCGCAGGCCCGGGCGGCGCGCCAGCAAACGCACGGCCGCGGCCGGCCTTTGGACGGATTCCCCTCGATGCCCCTCGGAGACCCCGGCGGCGCACTTTTTCACAGCGGGCGGCTCTTCGGTGGGGGTGGGCCCACCTGGAAGCTCGCAAGTCGGTCTGGCTCGAGACATGTCGTAGAAAGGCCGGGTCTAGAGCGCTGGCCGTTTTCCATGATGTTGCATGATGATCGCCACGTCAGGGCCCATGTGGTCTGTCGAGGAACAGGAAACCGCACGGCCACGAGCTTTCCGGAATTCCGTTCGGATGTCTTGGATCTGCACTTTCTTAGGGTTTGTTCTTTTCATTCTCCGCGGTAATGCCAGTGACCGCTGCCCCCCCCCCCCCCCTCCTCTCCCCTGGTCACGCAACGATTCGCGCCGGCGCCTTCTGGGAGTCAGCCATACCTCAGCATCCCCAGAGGCGCGGGCACGCGTCGCGAATCGTGACGTGGCACCGGCTCCCCCCTCCCCCTTTCCCCGCGTTGCTGCCCCCCCGCGCCCCCCCAGTCACGCCCGTCATCGCCAGGGGGCAACAAGCACGGTCTCTGAATTTTAGGACCCCCCCCCTCGCGCCACCCCCAGACCCCCGACGGCATGATTCTTGTCATCACGTCGACCCCCAGAGTTCTCGACCCTTTCCCTGGGACCCGGTCTGCATCCCGGGTCGTTTTCTTGCGGGCCCCGAGGCCCAGGAAGGGCCCCCGCGAGGCCGAACACGGTGATAAGCCGCCCACCTTGTTTTCTTTTACCTGACTCGAGGGGGTTTAGGTCTTGGGAAGCCCCCCCCCCTCGCGCCACACCTCTCCCTAAGTTCCGACGTCTCGAACACATGGAAGCGTCGTGAAAAACCATGACCGCGGCCCTGGACCCCACTTCTCTGCCTCGTTTCTCGAGCCGCATCGACCAGTGAGGGTCCCGGGACCCGACCTTGGGCGACAACGCCCAGCTCGGAAAATCATCGAGCAGTGGCGGAGCGTCCTGGCTTGCCTATAGGCCACCCAAGAATGTTCTGATAATCTTTTGTGGTCTGCACGAAAGGTTTTAACATTTCTGGCTGAGACAGTTTTTCCCTACCTAGGCTCTGCCTAGAAGGGTTCTTACTATTAATTAGGCTTAAAGGGCCGGGCAGTGGGGCACGCCCCGGGCGGTTCCCCCAGTATCCGCCCCGCGGTTCCCCCAGTGACGTCACCTTAGCTTAGCATTAGCATAGCGTAGCATAGCATAACATAGCCAAGCATAGCATAGCATAGCATAGCATAGCGCAGCACAGCACAGCACAGCACAGCACAGCACAGCATAGCATTTCATAGCATAGCGCAGCTTAACATAGCATTTCATAGCATAGCTTAGCATAGCACAGCGCAGCATGCCATACCATAGCTTAGCATAGCATATCATAGCATAGCGCCACATAGCATAGCATAGCATAGCATAGCATAGCATAGCATAGCATAGCATAGCATAGCATAGCATAGCGCAGCACAGCATGATATAGCATAGCATAGCATATCATAGCAACTAATGCTGCTTTCCTAGGGGCTCCAACTTCTAGGTAGGGTCGCACTGGGGTAATTTTTAACACGTCGGGCTTCTGTTCTGAGAACATTATTTGGGTTCTAAGAGCACTTCGTGGTCGGCCGATTGGAATGCCGGGACGGTCGGTCCCTGCTCAAGATCAGGGACCCCATCGCGGGCGCCTCCAAGGAGGACACCTGGCGCACGCGCCCGCGGCGTGCGGCCGTTGGCGTCGCCGCCGCCGCCCTGCTGGCGTGCGCCGCGGCGGCGGACGCGGCGTGGCGGCAGCACCCGCGGGCGGGCGCCGGCGCGTACGTGGGCGCCCTGGAGGTCTGGGCAGTGCCCACCCAGACAGGATCGCGTCGCAAAAGAAAAGCAGAAAAGGTCAGGACGGGAGATGTTCTGGCCATTTTCTGGCCTCGGGGGGTCCGCGCTGGGCCTCGGGACCGTCAAAACACGGCTCAGAATGAAAAACCGGTCCGGGGGAAAGGGTCGGGGCTTCCAGGGGCCCCGTGCTGAAAAAATCAGGACGCCGCATGTCTGGGAAGTGATCGAGCAGTGGCGAAGCGCCCTGGCTTGCCTGTAAGCCCACCAGCAAATGTTCTAACAAATGATTGTGGTTTGCACGAGTTGTTCTTAGGACACTTCTTGCCGAGGCTGTCTTGTGAACACGCTGGGCGTATATTCTAAGAACATTGGTTTTGTTATTAGGACGTTGCTTGGTTCTCAGGACATTTTGTGGTAGGCCAATAGGAATGCCGGGACGGTCGGTCCCTGCTCCAAAGGGGGAGTCACCGCTGGCCAAATAAGAAAACACAACATACGCGCCAGTCGTTGAAGTCCAATTTTTTGGAACCCCAGATCCCCATCTATTTGAGCCGCCTTCCTACTTCAAGAGTCGAGCGGTTTTCTCTCTTCCCTCCTCTTCAGGAGGCTGGCGAAAGCCGAATCTACTTCCAACGCCTTCCTAACCCACTTCTTCCGACCAACGTGTAAACATACCCATCGGTCGTTGAAAGTAGGTATTTCTGAAACCCAGATCCTAATCTACTTCTAGCGCCTTCCTACGTCAAGAGTCGATAGACTCTGGGAGGGCCTGGACCCAACCTACTTTAGCAGCCTTCCTACTTCATGTATCTACCGACTTCTTCCGACCGACGGTTACGCATATTTTCTCGGAATTCTGCGCGGATTTCTCGGATCGGTGCTGGGCCCTTCCAGCGCCGCCCCTGGCGCGCACCGCGCACCAGGGAGGGGGGCCTGGCGCCGATCCACGACACGGAGCTCCGAGAATTCATGCAGAGGAGGGGGGGTCGTCAGCTCCTCTTTGGAGGGCGAGGATCGAGGGGGGAGAGGATCGACGATCGAGGAGGTGTTGGACGTTGCTGGTTTTCTTTGGGAGTCTTGGAAGGCTCTGAGGAGTCCAGGCCGGCCTGTTTGCTCGAGGTGGTGGCGACCCCCCTGATCAGTGGCGACCCCTCTTGGTGTTGCCTGAAAGGTGCAGCCGCGCGCCAAGTGCCTGGGCGCCCTGGAGGTTCGGATCGGACGACAGCTCAGATCTCCGACGCTGTTGTTTTCCCGGCCCTTCTGTGATGTTAGTCCTCGTTCTGGATCCGCAGCGCCGCGCTTCTCCTTCTCCGCCTCCTCCCCCATTCCTTTTTCCTTATAGATAACTTTTCCTTGTCGCACCCAGGCCTGTTTTAGGGCGGGCCGGGCGTTTCGCTGGAGTTTTCCTCACCGATGGTGGCCCTGAAGCTTAAGCGTTGGCAACCGCTTCACGGATGGAGGGCGGCCCGTTTTCAAAGTGTGGCTCTCGTCTTAGCGCCGCGTACACTCTTTTGAAACATTCGCACGAGTTTCACGGATTGAGGGCGGTTCCTTTTCAAAATGTGGTTCTCGCCTCAGCGCAGCGCACAGTAGTTTTTAACACTTGCACGAGTTTCACGGATGCCCATGATCAGCGTAAAAGAAATAGTGATCTGGAAGGATTTTGGATAATGAGGGGGCAGAAGTTACGTGGGTTCGCGGTGTTGAAGCCCCAGGAATTGCATTCTGGATAGATTCAGGATCGTCAAGACGCAACAGTCAGGTTGATCCGTGGCGTTTGCATCCCGAGAACAACGGTCGTCTTCCAACGAGACAGTCCCCTCAGTGGAAATGAACCACTGTAGGGGCCTATGAAGAGGGAGTTTGGAGTGAGGGCTCATTCCAACATCGTTGATGACTCTTGGGTTTACACTGGTCCTTCTCCTTCTCCTCTCCGTCCTCTTCCTGATGCTCCTCCTGTTTCGCCTCGTGACCCCAGAGGGAGCTCCACCGAAGGCCCCAGGGGCTCCGTCCGCAAAATGATCCGCCCCATGTCGCCACACCCCTCACACGTTTCGTGGCCCCACAGGGAGCTCCACCCGAGGCCCAGGTGGCTGCGTCCGCATGGTGACCCGCCCCATTCTGGCGCACCCATCACTCTTCGTGGCACCATAAGGAGCTCCACCGAGAGCCCCAGTGGCTGCGTCCGAATGGTGACGCGCCCCATTTCGGCGCACCCCTCACACGTTAACCAGGGAGCTCCACCGAAGGCCCCAGTGGCTGCGTGTCCGCATGGGGCCTGCACCATTTGGGCACACCCTCTGAGATCTGACGTTTCGAAAAAGTTGAAACATCGAGTGGAAAGTCACGGCAGGAGCCCTGGACCCCATCTTTCTGCGCCGTCTGTGAGGAGCCCGTAGCCCGAAGCTGGGCGAAGACGCCAGGCTCGAAAAATTGAGTCGCCACGGTCTCTGGGCCCCTGACACGTTCAGTCTGGTTTGAGGCTTTTGACGAGGCCCTCAGGCGTACCACATGCCCGTCACTGTGTTCTCGCGCATTAAGCGGGGTCCTACTCCACAGCCGCTCTGCTTTGAGAAAGGGATGGGCTTTTCGCCAGGCTAGTTTTCGCACAGCCGGCGTTTTCGTGAGTTTTCGGCTCCGGGACCATCACCTGTGGATCTGGCTTGAGAGGTGCAGCAGAAGAATTGGGTCTAAGGCTCTGGTAGCGTTTTTCTGCGCTGCTGCCAGCTTTCTGCGACGTCGGATCTCAGGGGCAGGGCTGGGCTGGGCAAAGGGGGGTATGACGCCTGCTGCGTTCGGCTGCTTCTGGCTCCGGAGCGCGGGGAGCTGCCCTTCGGTGCACTGGCGGCTCCGGCGCCGGGAGGCGCCGGGAAAACCAGCTATGTGAATGATTCGCAGCCCCCCCGTTTCCTGAGATCCGAGGTTGCGAAAACATTGCAGCACCGCGAAAACATCACGGCCAGAGCCCTGGACCCAATCTTTCGGATGCGTTTCTCGAGCCGGATCGGTCCGTAATGGCACCAGGGCCGAAGCCCGACGAGAACGCCCACTGTGACAAGTGATCAACGTCCAGATCACAGGCTTCGTCCGACCCGAGAGGTGCGTGGCCACGGGGCCGTCCAGGTGATCGCCGCCGGCGCGAACATCCCTGGTGATCCGGCCGGTGCTGCGGAGGTCGGAGGCGACGCCGTGAGGGTGAGCAAGTCTGGGCGCGTGTATTTTGCCGAGGCCTGCGCCGATGGCGCCTATGCGCCAGGTGAGTATTCCAGCATCAACCTCTTGGGGAGGCGGCTGAGCTTCAGTGTCGACTTGTCGGGTGCCCAGTGTGGATGTGTGGTGGCGATGTACCTCACCCCGCTCGCCCGGAGCCCGCAGCCAGGGACATGCGGTTCGGACTACTACTGCGACGCGGCCGAGGTTCAGGACCGTCTAACCGATGCCCATGCTACCTGGCTCAGTGTATCTCAGCACCACCGGCCTCCCCACCAAGTGGGTAGATGCCTCGCGAAGCCCAAAAGGGAACATCATATGTCCCCATCTGGGGGAAGTGGGTCAGTGGGTCCAAGGCCATTCCAGCGGGTAGGGGGATCGGTGAAACGATGCTCAAGGTCTGCGGTGTGCGCTGCGAAGAGTTGGACATCATGGAGGCGAACACGCACGCATGGCACACAACGGCCCACACTGCTTCCGACACTGCTGGCGTTGGGACATCGAAGAAGAACATAACCTGTAATAACCAAACTTGCCGAGCTCCGTGCGGACTTCTTGGATCGGCGTTGGGCCTCCCTGGCGGCGCCGATCCAAAAAATCCGAGCAGAGCTCGGAAGCTTATGTTTATGCAGTTGTTCTGTCCTCCAGGACGGGCATCGGTGGAAGTGCAAGCGGCATCGCTCCCGATATGTACGGCCCCGGCAGCGCTGCGGGCATCGACACGCTGCGCCCCTTCGACGTGGCAGCGGACATCAGTGAGGACGGCACCGAGATCATCGCGACACTCTCGCAGGATTTTGGGGCGCAGAAGGGGTGAGGAATACGACATGGGGGAGGCGGAGGATCCAATGGTATATTCATTACCCCCGCAGCTGCCGAGGAAGAATAATAAGTGACCGCATAAACAGAACTTTCGGACGTTCAACAGTTTATTTGAATACCCTTCTTCGTTTCTCTGGGTAGGAATTTCCCGCGCAATTACTTGCGGATTAGAGTGAGGGGATCGCGGCGGCCCACCCGCGATCCACCTCGGACGCGACCAACCCGCGCCGCGACCGACCTTCGACCCACCCGCTTCCGCCGCGACCCACCCGCGCCGACGACAACCACAAGAACAATGACAAGCTCAAACACAATAACAACGATCATGTCAATATTGTTCGGTCTTCGTTGCTCGCGTATCATCGGGCATGTATATCCCACACCCTCGACACCCTCACTCTTCGTCTTCGGTCGTACCCATTTTGGGGGATGTCGTCCTTGCCCGCCACGTGTACTAGGAGGAGGAGGAGGAGGAGGAGGAGGAGGAGGAGGAGGAGGAGGAGGGGGAGGAGGAGGAGGACAAGGCGGGAAACGGAGAAGGGAGAGAGCGAGGATTGGAGGGGGAAGGAGCAAAGGAGGAGGGGGGCAAGAGGAACGGAGGAGGATCGAGGGCGAAGAGGATCTTGCAGGAGACGGAGGAAGTGAACCATACTGTTGGCCAAGCGGACCTTGACGGGACGAATCGGGCGCGCCGGCCCTGCTGGGCGGGCCGGGCGGGCGGACCCCGACGGGCAGGTCGGGCGGGCGGGGCGCTCGGGCGGGCCGGAGGGCTGCCAAGCACGCGGCTGGGCGGGCGGGGCGGGCCCTGACGGGCGGGCCGGGCGGGCGGACCCCTCCCTCTCCTCCCTCTCATGCTCCACGCTCCCTCCTCCCTCTTCTCCTTCTTCTCCTCCTCCTCCCTCGGGCCGAAGGCGGGGCGTCGAAGTGGGCGGGCGGGCTCCAAGAGCAGGCGAGGTCGGGCGCATCCCGACGGGCGGGGCGGGCGGGCGGGCTCCGAAGCAGGGCGGGTCGTCGGGCGCCCGGGCCCACAGCGGGCGGAGCGGGCAGTGCGGTGCAGCTCTTCCCAGGAGCTCCCCCGGCGAGAGAGCCAGTCCTGGGAGGAGCTGCAGGGAAAATAGGGGAGGAAAAGGTGGCATAGGCATAAAGACTCGGAGGTCCGCGCGGATTTCCCGCATCGGCGCTGGGGCCCCCCGGCGGCGCCTCCGGCGCCGCCCCTGGCGCGCTCCGCGCGCCTGGGAGGGGGGTCCAGCGCCGATCCGAGCCGCGCGGACCTCCGAGTTTACATGTGGCGCCGCCCCTGGCGCGCTCCGCGCGCCCGGGAGGGGGGTCCAGCGCCGATCCGAGAAATCCGCGCGGACCTCCGAGCTTTGATGTTCATGCCACCTTTTGTTCCCCGAGAGGGAAGTCTCGTGCGAGAGCGCCATGTTGTGTGCGTCGAGGGCGCAGCGCCCGAGCAGACTGCAGGGAAGGCCTGAGCGAGAGCTCGGTTCCTGAGGAGCGCGCGAGCGCGGCTGTGGATCGGAGGTTTGGGGGTTGAGATCGCAGTGGAAAGGAGAGCCCCCACCAGGAAATCGGCTTCGGTTTCGTGTTCGTGTCGTGCGTGCGGGCGAGAGGAATGACCTCGCCGTCGCTGGGGCGATTCGGTTGCAGTGGACCGCCCCTCCGCCCCCAAAGGGCGCGCGGTGGACCGGAGCGGGACAGTGGCCTGTGGTGTCCCGTTGGTGTCCCGTCGGTGTCCCGTCGGTGTTCCGTCGGCGGTGGGCGGGCGGTGGCCGGGGGAGTCCCGCCTTGGTATCGAAAGTGGAATCGATAGTGGGATCGATACTAAGATCGCTAGAATGGGATGGATAGTGAGATCAAAAGTGAGATCAACAGTGATATTAATTGTGACAGTGATTGTGAGATCGGTAGTGAGATCGGATCGATAGAGGAATCGATAGGGAGATCGATCGTGAGATCGGAAGTTAGATCGATAGTGGTAACGAACGTGGCATTACATCCCAGCGCAACGTCGTCATTACGCGTCGTGGCCAATTCGAAGGCGCGTCACCAGCATCGTCACCAAGTTGGTTCTTCCCCGCATAACCTCCAACCTCCTTATCACCCGAACGGTGGTCGTATAGGTACATTGATCATGCCGCAGCCGTTGTTAGTGTACGGCCGAGCATCCGATTAAGAAGCCTCTTCCCGAAAAACTGGTCCAGCGTTTCGTAACCACCTTGCTTAACAGCTGGCCTAGTTTCTTGAGCGCGTTCGCCCCTCCAGAGTTAAGACGACACTTGGCACATGTTTGTCTTCGGAAACGCAGCTGGCCCAGGTTTCTTGAATCATGATTGTCATGATCATATGATCGGCTGTAGTCCGGTGGCCAGGGGCGCAGTTAAATCTTCAAGACTTCCCTGATAATGAAAAAGGGGGCGAGGCCCGGGGTTGGGGGCATTTCAATTGACAAAATATAGTGGCCACCCGCAGGTGCGGGCAAGAGTGAGGGGGCGGCGGGGTCCTCGGCAGTTCTGCGAGGCCCTGAAGAAGCCCGCCGCAGGCGCCGCTCTTTCAACAAATTATGCGACGAGCCCGCCGTAGGCGCCGACTTTCGTCAAAGTAAGTGGGTGTGTCGCGGAAAGGTTGCGGGTGGGTCGAGGATGGGTCGTGGGGTGGGTCGTGGGGTGGGTCGCGGGTTGGTCGCGGGTGAATCGCTGGTTGGTCGCGGGTGGGTCGCGGGGTGGGTCGTGAGGTGGGTTGCGGGAGAGTATATGAGTGGGTCGCGGGTGGGCCGCGGGTGGGTCGCGGGTGGGTCGTGGGATGGGTCGCGTGGGTCGCGAGTGGGTCGCGGGTGGGTCTCGGGTGGGTCGCGTGTGTGTCGCGGGTGTTTGTGGGTGGGTCGCGGGTTGGTCGCGGGCGGGTCGCGGGTTGGTCGCGGGTTGGTCGCGGGCGGGTCGCGGGTGGGTTGCGGATGGGTCGCCGGTGGCTTTCGGGTGGGTCGCGGGTGGGTCGCGGGGTTGGCCGTTGGTGGGACGATGATGTGACGATAACCAACAACACCACCACCAAGAACAACACCAACGACTTCAACACCAATCATTTTAAGCTGGTTCGCTCTTGTCTGCCCGCGTGCCATCCAACACGTAGAACCCAAACCAGCTTGGGGGTATATTTTTCTTACCTGCAACGCGTGTTTCGTGCAGCCCCCTAAGGCAGGGATGGAGAGGACGGATGGAAGGAAGGGACAATGGGGAGGGAGCAGGATGGAGCTCGAGAGAGAGAGAGAGTAGCACGAGGGGGCCTAGGAACAGAAAACGGGTGGCATAATCAGACGGGCAGATCGGGCGGATAGGCCCTAACGGGCGGGTCGGGAAGGCGGACCCATGCGGCCAGGCCGAGCAGGTGGGTTGCGGAAGCGTGCGTCGTGCATGAATCGCCACAAAGTCTCGAGCGATAGCGCGATTCCCATATACATTGTTTGGACATCCAGAGCGAGAGCACGATTCCTGAGTGTCGAGGGCTCGGCGCCTGAATAATTTGTGAGGGACTCCCACGCGAGAGCGCGATTCCTGTATAATTTGTGAGGGCGTCCCGCGCGAGAACGCACCTTGCAAATACATTGTCAGGAAGTAGCATGCAGGAGCCGCTGTTATTGTAAACCGGGGGCCAGGGGCCCAGTTTGGTGAGAAGTTCATTTCCTGTTACAAATCAACGAAGTGCGAGCCCCAGGAGAAGCATTGTAATTGAAAGATGCAAGTTATTACCGCGAAGGGGGGGTCAGCATTCATTACTCTGTAGAAATGAGAATTCAACGCAACAGCAATATGCACCGCGGAACCACTTTTCAGCCACGCACCCAGGAACTGAATGATCGTTCGGCCCTCTCACTCAGACAATATGCACGGGGGGGTCGACAATAGTTTTTCTTCAGGAGCAAGGCTTCGATCCGCATCTCGGAACCCTGCTATGGCCACTCGCCCAGGCATTCGAAGACCGTTCGGGCCCGCCATTCTGACGAGGATGGTTAGGATGAAGAGGGACCTCGATATGAAGGCGGATGGAGGAAGTAGCAAACACGCTTGCTCCCATGCCCCCTCTTACAGGCCCTGCACGCGGAGGAGTTGGACCAGGGGGAGGGGAAAGAAGTCGGGACGTGATGGGGCACAATCGAGGGGCTGACAGAAGGTGCCGTCGTTCTGTTAGAAGAGGCTCGCTGCTCTTTGCTACTTTCCAGGGTTGTCCCTCTTGCGCTGCTCGTGCAGCCTGATCCTTTCGGGGCCAGAGAGGGGATTCGTTCCCTATGCGTTACTTCCAGACACCTGGGCATCAGGAGTTATTTTCTGGTTTAATGTTGAATCGTTGTTTGACGGCCCTGGCCCCTGGAAGGGCCCCCAGAAGCCAAAACGTGCCAGACAAAGTCAGCCGTGATGGTTTCACGCCGCGAGGGGGTCTCGGCTCAGCGTACCTTGTGGTAGCAGCCTGGCCATTTGGGTCACACCCTGGAGCCTGTTGGTTTAAGGTATGGGCGATAACGGCCGCGATCGGCCCTCTCCCTCTCGCCCCCCGGATACCGCCACGCCTTTTTTTCCCACATCTGCACAGATGTCCTGCGGATTTTGAGAGGATATTCTGAGATCTCTGGCGGACCCCTGCCGTGATGTGATCGGGGGGGGGGGCGAACTCCCCCCCCCTCCTCCGATCACGCCCGATAGCGCGAATGATTAAAACAGGCGCCCCCGCCAGTCAGGGGCAACGATAGGGGGGGATGGGCATAGGGGGGGACGCATCGACCCCCAATCGCCCATGGATCGCCGATAGGGGCCCGATTGCCCCAACCTGCCCAAGGACGTGCGGATATACTATGGGGGCCCGATCGCCGATCTATCGGCGATGTACCGCCGATTCCAAGTCGATGCTTCCCCCCTGTGCCTGTCCCCCCCTATCGTTGCCCCTCCGCCAGGAGGCGCGCGAGGTCTCGGTGAACCTCACGTACCCCGGACTGGAGCAGGCGCTCCGAGAGGGCATGGCCCCGATCCTGAGCTACTGGCACCAGCCCGCCTCGGGGGACCTGCAGTGGCTCCCAGAGAGGGGCTCGCTGTATACGCCGAAGGCTTGAGTCGGGTCTGTCCGTCGACGTGAGGAGTATACAAAAATGGCCCAACACATTGTCGGGGGGAGGATTGTTCCAATTATGTTTTCACACCATTCTGGAACATGCTCGGAATCTGTTGAAACTTTCCTTTCAAATCTGCCTGTAGGGGACAGACCTGACCTAACCTAAGACATCCTCAGCGGGGGACCCTGGGGGGAAGTGAAAAGGGGCGGGCCTTCTCAGAGGGCTCGGACGTCCCCAGGCCTTCTGAGAAGTTTTCCCAGCCTTCCTCGGAGACGCAGAAAACTTTCAGAATGCGCGAGGGTTTCTGAGAAGTCCCGCCGCCTTCTGAGAAGGCCTTCTCCTCACTCCCCCCCTCGCTCGCCGCCAACGCATGGAACAAATCACGACGGGCGTTTCTGTTTGCTATGTTTGTCCCTCGGCAGGCCCAAGGGCCCGTCAAGAAACTACTCAGGATGAGAAGCCGGCCCTAAGCAGAGGATAGTAATTCGTGGCGGTCCCGTATTGAGAAAGGTCAAGACATCAAATGTCTGGGTATACACCACGTTGTGTGGTCGGCTAGAAAGCCCAGGAGCTCGGCGAAGGAACTCGTTGTATAGACACTCCAGCGGCTGGGGCGTATATCCACCGACGTCCTTGCCGACCGGGCGACGTGGTTATGTACAGTCAGCTCATTCCAATAAGATCCAGTTCGAGGTCGGAAGGGGCTCGGTGGTTCCTTCAGTTTGCATACTTTCCGTTACGATTCTAGTGAATCTTCCTAGCGAGCCCCAATGGTGTTCCTTCGAATGTTGCGGTCGCTCTTTCGGATTGTACGGCTCGACCTGGAAACAAAGAGGCCTCGTTCTTTGTCACTCGTTCTTTCAGCAGCTCGAGTGCATACATCGAGACCTGTCTCAGGTTCGACGGCGCCGTGTGCGCCGCCGACGACCCCGCGGCGTGCGGCGAAACGGTGGTGCTCTATAACTTCGCCGTCGGAGACCGACCGGCGCCGCCGGCGCCCCCGGCGCCTGCGGAGCCAGGCTCGGTTGCGCGTGCTGGTAGTTCCCTAGAGAGACTTCCGACGACGGTTTCAGTAAACAATCGTTTCGTAAACAATCGCTGGCCAAAAAGGTAAACTTTACCTTTTTTGTCCAATCGGGCGTTTTCCCTCGATGCCAGCCTCCTTGGGTAGGGGGCCACGTGCGAACCCTACCCCTAGCCCCCGCGATTTCTGAGGGGGAGGGTGGGGTAGAGTTCGCACGCGGCCCCCTATTGGGCCCCGTGCTCGGGCCACAGAGCCAGCACACGTGAATCCGGAGTGGCGAGCCTGCGCCCGGGCCAGCGGGACCTCGGGGGCTGCGGGCTTGGCGGGCTTGTAAAACATCAGGAGGGGAAGAAACACACAGACACAATTCATCGTCGATCCCCAAGAAAATATGGGAATTGGGCGGGAAGACAGAAACCCAGAAAGCATGGAAATATATGGGGAATCATTTTATTTGTGTGTATTTATTTGTGTGCCCTTGGGCCCCTTGAAAAACATCGTGTCTCGGCTGATGGCATGGAGTGGCCTCTGGTGCGCGGCTTCTGGTGGGGGGAGGGGGCGGCGGGGTCAGACCCAGGGAGAGTGCTTTTTTGTTCTCTGGGCCATCGGTCGCCTTCTGCCCCCCCCCTCCCCCCCCTCTCCACCCCCCCATCACGTATGATGTTCCTCCTCCCCCAGTGCGTTCCCGGTACTGCCGCGGTGCGTCCAGCACCACAGTCCGCGGCGGTGCAGGACCCACACGGCGGATGTTGCCGTCACGTCATGCCCCCCTCCCGCCCCCCCTCCCTCCCCCCCATAACGCCCGTTATCGCCGCGAATACACAATGCTCTCAAGCGCGCAGGCCGCTGCTGTCTGTCACATCGCACTCAATGGTCGGCAAGCCGCGCGTCAAGGGTCGCTCTGGCCTGGGGGCACGCCTGCGGCCTGTTCCCAGACCCCCTCCGCTCCTCCCTCTCCCTGCCCCTGCCCCTGAGGAGAACGATGTGCTGCAATTTCTGAGTCCTGCGCATTGCAGCCCACACATGTGGAAGACAGTGGCCAGCCGGTACGCTTTGTCCTGAGCTGTCTTTGCTTGTTGTGCCCTGGTCTGGACATGCGCCTCCAGCCGGCGGCACTTCTTCAGCCGACGTGACGTGCAGAGGCGGCGTTATTGATTGCTCCCAGACCCCCAGAGAAACGTTCGGACGTGCTGGGGCACAACCGAGCGGCTGAAACAAGGTACCGTCTTTATGTTAACGGATGAAGAATGCTATAACATTAATTTGTTCGCCGTAGGGGGCGCCTGTGCCAGGGCGGCTGGAAAGTTGTCATACTCCTACGGTGACACGTCAGGGTGTAAACTGTCCAGCCGCCCCGGGGCAGGCGCCCCCAGGGACGGAAAAGCGTGTTCTCTACTGTTCTTCGCGCGCCAGCTTTGTTCGGAAGGGGCTCGCTGCTCGTTGCGTCCTTCCATGGCTGTCCCACATGCGCTGCTCGTGCACCCAGGCACTCGCGAGGCCACAGGGACTTCGCTCCCTGCTCCCAGACCCCGACGCCAGGACTTCTTTTCACGACGTGACCCCCAGAGGTCTCGACCAATTCCCTGGGACTGGTTCTTCATCCTGAGGCGTTTGTTGACGGTCCCAGGGCCCGGTAATTGCCCCCGGTAAGGCTGAACATTGAGGAGAAGGCCCCGTCGTGGTCTTTTTCGTGACTCGAGGGGGCCTGGGCTTAGCGTGTATCCGACAGGCGCGGAGGATGCCGGGGAGAGCATCGCGCCGCTGTCGACGCAGCCGGGCGCGGAGCTGGTGGGTGCGCCGGCCACGCCGCCGGCGGTCCCGCCGACGGCGCCGCGGTCTCCGCTGCCATCTCCCTGGACGTCTGGCGTCACGGTCTCCTGGCGGCGAGGGGCCCCCCCTGGGCATCTCGAGCCCATACGCCTCCGTTCCAAGACGTGATCGCGTCGTTCAAAAAGTCAGGGCGGGAGGTTTTCGGCAATCTTCGGCCTCGGGGGGCCCTCGCTGGGCCTCGGGACCGGCAAAAAGCGACTCAGGACGGAAAGCCGGTCCCGGGGAAGGGTCGAGGCTTCGTGGGACCCCGTATTGAAATAACCAGGATGTCGCATGTCGGTTGTTTTTCAATCCTTGCCCAATGCGGTTCGGGAAGGGCCGACCAGGCCAGTCGACCAAGGAACCCTCGTACCCTCGTTGAGTGCCTCGGGAGCACGGTCTCTCAGGTCGTCTCGTCGTGAACACGTGGGCACAAGACCGGTCGCCGCGATTCCTCCACGGCGCCATCCCCCTGCATCGGGACGATCGAAATAGGTATGAAAAAGATGGGTACATAGACCGACAGCAGTTCCTGTTTACTTTGAACAGGATTCGCTGTCGGTGTCGCCGCGGCCGTGGTTGGGGACAACATGTGTTGTTGGGCATTGTGCCATTTTGTTTCGCACCCCGGGCGTCCAAACTGGAGCTCTCCCGAACCTCTTCCCCATTTCATGGTCCAGCGCTTCGTTCATCCCAGATCCCCGACCCCCGCCGTCATGATCTGCTCATGACGTGGACCCCCAGAGGTCTGCACCCCTTCCCAGTGACAGGTATTTCATTATCATTCGTGTTTTTTGAAGGGTCCCTGGAAGCCACAAATGAGCGACGCAAAAAAGCGGGATCGTCTGCGCCGACATTTGCGCGTGAGTTGCCCACATAAGCTCGCGCGTCAGCGCCCTCGTCTCCACTTTATTAGCCTGCCGCGCTGGCGGCACGCGTAAGCCGCGGCGTAAGGTCGCTACGTCATCCCGCGTAAGCCGCGGCGTAAGGTCGGTATGTCCTGACGCTGGCTGAGGGGCAGCGAGCGCGATCTAGGGTTCTGGGGCGACGGGGGAGAGGGCAATGCTGTTGTAGGGCAAGAGCAAGCATGAGCAGCCCAAGCGTCGGCAAGAGCAAACCTGAAATCAGAGCTTCTCGCGAAGGGCGGCTGTAAGGATTGCTGTTGACCGGTCAAGCGCGCCCGCCGAGCGTACGGGGATCTGACCCTGGAAACAGCTGGAAACAACGCTGCCCCCCAAGCGACCTTCAAGGTACTCCAGATTTCGTAATAAAAGGGAGGGGGTCTGGACCCTCCAAGACAAGCCATTTCAGACCTCCCCCGTGGGAGAACCCTCCAAAGCATCGTGGCCAGACCCCCCCAGGCCCTCCAAGATAGCCTGGAAGAGACCCCCCCCCCCGAAATGAGACCCCCCTCCCTTTATTACGAAATCTGGAGTAGCTGCCGCGATGCGCCCGTGCTCAGAACGTCCGTGTCAATACACTGCGCGCTGGCTCAACGTGTTGGCCCACGTTTGGGCGAACGCATCGCGTCAGACCTGCGTTTTCAGTCTGCGTGTTGAGCTCCGCATCCATGCGCTACGTGTTGCGTGTTGCGTATCGGGGCAGCCATTTTTTCCCCAGACCCCATCTTCCTGTGCCTCCTCATCGAGCCGGATCGGCCCGGGAGTGTCCCGGGGCCAGAAGCCGGGCGAGGACGCCCGCTGTGCCAAAGTTGCTGGGCTGGGGCCTCCTCCTCCTCCTCCTCCTCCTCCTCCTCCTCCTCGTCCTCCTCCTCCTCCTCCCCCTCCTCCTCCTCCTCCTCCTCCTCCGCCTCCTCCTCGTCCTCCTCCTCCCCCTCCTCCTCCCCCTCCTCCTCCTCCTCCTCCTCCTCCTCCTCCTCCTCCTCGTCCTTCTCCTCCTCTGGGGGCTCGCGATCGCACCGTGGCGAAGGAGGTCCGGGCCGGCCACGCCGAGCGGTTCGCCTGCCGCGTGGCCTTTCGGCCGGTCGGCGCCGGGCGCGCGGGAGTGCTGGGAGGCGGAGGCCGGCTACGCGCCGCTGGACACTGGAGGAGGAGGAGGAGGAGGAGGAGGAGGAGGAGGAGGAGGAGGAAGAGGAGGAGGAGGAGGGGGAGGAGGAGGAGGAGGAGGAGGAGGAAGAGGAGTGCAAGTTCTCGGCCGTGCCTTCTCGCCCGTATTCCTCTGCTTCTTCTTGCTCTCTGCTTCCGTAGCCGTCTGGGCCCAAAGACCCAGCTCCATACGTACGTGCTGTTCCGCCGAGTGGAGCTCCAGCAGGCCGAGTTTAAACGGTCCACTCGATCGGCATTGCTAACGCAATCGGGTCAGCATAGCCTTGTCGTGGAGATCTCAGGTCTCGTACTGAAAAGTGCAACCTGCATCAGATATTCCAGACTTTCCAGCGTAAGTTTGCTTCGTGAGCCCACCCCGGCATTGCAACGGGGGCTCACGCCAATCAAAAAGAATATTTCACGAACGCACTCTTATACACTGTCTGTATTTCTGGGATCGCATTGTCATGCCTCGGTACTCTGATAGGCCGCGGCCCACAGTCGTTATCAAAGAGGTCGTCACACGGCTCTGTATAGCTGCTGGCCTCCCCGCACCTGCTTCCGCAAGAATTGTTTCTCTCGAAGGCCCGGCGCGAACGCACGATGGTTTGCATTGCAATCCGGGTACGCGCCGGCTGCTGTCGATTATCTTCGACATGACGGCAGCCCTTTTGGAAGAGGAGCATCGGGATCTCAGACAATGGAGGCAAGGTTTGCGGGCTTCGTTATCTATTCTGGATTCTTGGTTTTTCGACGGAATGAAAACTAGGCGAAACAGTTCTGACTTAGAAATACTTTGGGCAGCGTTGCAGGTCAGTTCTATTTTGTGCTGGATGAGGCATTCACGACGGTGTCGCCAAGCATTGTTGTTCGGGTCGCTTTTGGCACCGCCCCACAGGCATGCGATCTTCCAACCCTCTTTGCTGCTTGAAGCTGGAGGTCCAGGCTTGGTACGGGCGGCCCTCACAAGCCTTATGAAGCTGCAGATGTCGGCCATCACGCGCTCCGGTGATGATACGCCTGAAGCCATCGTTTATGGATGGGGTGGTCCAGGTATGACTTACATCGGCTACGCTCTCCGCAACCGGGCTTCGCAGCAGTCGCACGCAGGAGGGTGTTTCCGTTGGCTGGAACACGTTTCATTGATCAGGGACAAGTCGCACAAGGACGGCATGATGCTGCGTTACCGGATGGCACGTTCCAGGCCGCCAGTTGGTTTTCTGGTGTTGCGAAGTGGGCTTGCATTAACCATGCAGGCCACGGAGACGGCCGCCATCCGTTCACTACGTCCGAATGCAAACGGTGCTCCCCAGAGGTCTCCACACGCCTGCGTTTCTCACCGTTCCCGGCAACGACCCCCGAAGTCGTCGAGGAATCGCTCACGTATTGGAGTCTTCGACAGACGAGGCCTGCCGAACAGGCCGGAATCGGCTCCGTTGATAGACCCGTGGTTTCAGCAACCCCCAGCTGATGCACACCATTTGCAGCGTTACCGGGGTCATTGGTTCTTCTCAGAATCTTTCCGGTCAGCGTATTACTTTTTGCAGCGATTGTCAGGTACGGCGGGCCCGTTGCACATCTACGCGCCCGTGCTTTGGCCTCTGCTGCTCATCATGCTCGGCTCATCTGGTCATTCTTTTGATTGGACTCGTATGGCAGCGACATGGTGCATTTCGTCGGCACCATTGGCCATCTTGCACATGATACCGCTCCTTGAGGGCAGCGGCCGCCAACGTCTCGCACGTCACCGGATCGGCTTGGAGCTTTCCCGCCGGCGCCTCCCAGGATTAACGGTCAGTGTAGTCACCGTGCCGTTTCCATGTCTGGTTGCCATTGTCGCTCAGGGCATTCGTGCAGCAGTTGCTGTGTCAGATCGCACGCTGCCAGAGAAGCGATGGATCCTACGTCAAGTCCGAGTTTCGGCTGGGAAGGCTGCCACTTTCTTGACAGAGCGCGACGCTTCCCGCGCCAGCCGGCGCGTGAGTTTGCGGGAAGTTGCCGGATGGAGTCCAGACGTCGTGCGATTGGCAGCTCAGGGAGTCGGATTGTTTCCAGTACGACAGCGATGGGACGTGCCAGTCCGCCGATCGGCTTATGAGTTAGCGCTATCAGCTTGGGAGTCCATGGCCTCTCATGCCAAAATATGGTGTGGATTTCAAGCTCTTCGGCGCCTGAGGCACCAAGGGTTCAGACCAGCGACGCTCCAGTACAATATTGACGTTGTTTCGCAGCAGCGACGATGGGCTTGTTCTGCTCTTCAGTACGTCACGCACACCATGCTCATGCAGCGCATCCCGAACTACACCCGGGTCCAAGACGATAAGGACAAGAAGCAGTGCTGGCAGGTCCACAATACCACTTTTGCTGTCATGATGTTTCAGTTTGTTTTGAACAGTTCCACGTGGCGTATCGTGAACGCAACACATGCGGAAGCCAACAACTGCATAGCCAGAGCCTTAGTAGATGGTGTGCCGCATATGTTGCATACTTTTCTGGGCATCAGCTCTCGCGCGTGGTTTTTACCCAACATGTACATCACAGTGAAAAGCAAATGCTTCTCGAATGCTTCAGAATTTCGACACTCGTGCACCAAAGCAGGCCACAGCTGCTGCCGAAAAGTTGTCAGCTTCTTCGAGTGGAAAAAGAAATCCTGTTGGAGAATGGTGTCCAGGGGCTTGGAGACGATCACTAAACGATATTGCCCTGGCTTCGAGGTGTGGCGGTTGAAGACCGCGCCGGCCGAGCTCAAAGAACGACTGCGAACACTCCATCCCGGCTCAGCCGTGCCAGTTGCGGATGCGCCAGTCCCGCTTGCACTTGTGTTTCATTGTTGTGAGTTCTCTTGTTTCCGATGCAGGGCCCTGAAGTGCCGGTGGTCTGTTGTAGTGGCCGATGCTGGCCAATTTTTCGAAGCCACCAAAGCCGAGCAAGTAGCACATGCTGCAAACACAATCATGGCGGAGGCACGGCGGCAATCAGGAGAGTCTACTGTATCTGTGTTTCGTTCCCGAAAGAGGCAAGCGTACATGGGAGGGGACCCGGCCGCGAAGAGCACAGTTGCAAAAACATTCACATTCGACCAGTTGATATCAATTATGATCGCATTCTGTCGCATATCGTTTTGCAGTGTTGGTGATGTCACAGCTGAAATGGACGGTCTTCCAATAGGCGGGTTTCTGAGCAAAGTCGCATGCTCGATGGTTTTATGTTGTGCCGAGAGCGCGTGGCAGAAGGATGTGGTTGCACGTGCCAGTGACAGATTTGTACCTCAGGGTTACCGGTGGCAAGACGTGGTGGCAGCAACGCGCTACGTGGACGATTTGTTGCTCTGTTCAGGTATACTGTGCCGTGGTTGCCTTCTGGAGGCAATATCGCAGATATACCCGGTGCCATTTGAGCCGTCGCCAGAATCAGCATCCAATGTTTGGCTCGACATGGACATCGACGCGCAAACGCTATGCGTAGATTGGCGCCCAAAGGCATTCGACACGCCTCCTCCGTGGGCGTGCCGCGTCCGGGATTTCCGATCGTACATGATGGGGCGTCTTGCACGAGCTCGGGAGACGCAGCTCCCACCCCGCAGGCTAGTCCAGCACTTCCTGAACATGGCTGTAGCTCTCCGTCAGATCGGCTGGGGGCCACGTGCTTTCCATCAGGTGTACTACATGTCGCGAGCACTCCCCCGAGGAGTGGAGTCGGATATATTCTTGTTAATCATGCGCCTGATGTCGTTTCTGCCACTGTAGCTCTCTTAGCCCACCCTGCGATGTGAGGAGGTGTTTAGAACAACGTTGAGTTGAGTGCAAGTTCTCGGCCGTGCCTTCTCGCCCGTATTCCTCTGCTTCTTCTTGCTCTCTGCTTCCGTAGCCGTCTGGGCCCAAAGACCCAGCTCCATACGTACGTGCTGTTCCGCCGAGTGGAGCTCCAGCAGGCCGAGTTTAAACGGTCCACTCGATCGGCATTGCTAACGCAATCGGGTCAGCATAGCCTTGTCGTGGAGATCTCAGGTCTCGTACTGAAAAGTGCAACCTGTATCAGATATTTCAGACTTTCCAGCGTAAGAGGAGGAGGAGGAGGAGGAGGAGGAGGAGGAGGAGGAGGAGGAGGTGGCGGCGGGCGCAGGGGGGTTGGCCAGGGCTCAGTTCGACCCCTCCGATGCGATTCGATCAGATCTCGGCCGATTCCGATTCCGACTCGGTTCGGTTTCGGCTTCCGATCCGGATCTCGGCTTCTCACTGGAGGCCTTATGCCAGCGCGTGCCGATTCCTGCCGATTCGGCTTCTCCCGACTTGGCTGTCGATTTCCGCCGATCTGGTTCATCTCGTCATCGAGAGTGAAAGAACCCCTAACCCTCTCAAAACAGTGCAGACGTGGCCTCACGGAGGTCCTTGCCCTTGCGTTAGAGATCACAGATCTTGGCGGTTTGGTTCGATACATCTGTAGACAAGAGCCCCTACCCCTAATGTGTCTGGCCCTCCTAACGATGGTTCCCCTGCTAAAGGGTCAGGGGTCTTTTCTTGGTTCATCGTTTCGATCGCCGATCCGACCTGTCGGTTCGATGTTTGCGCTCTCCTGTGTGGCGCGGGGGGGGCCCTCCCGAGAAGGCGGGGGGGCGGCTTCTGCCCTGATGTCTGGGCGGTGCAACGTTTCACACACCAGGCGTTTTCTTTTTGCCGGCCTTGGGGGCCCTGGGGTCATGTCAGGTCAATCTGGCTCTAAACAAGTGCAGAAGAAAGAGGGGTCTGGGGCTCCAGTCTGTATTTCCCAACCCTCCTGTGTGTTTGGTCCTCGTTTTGAATCTGCAGCGCCGTGCTTCTACTCCCCTCATCGTCCTCCTCATCCTTGCCAGAATCGTCATCATCACCCTAACCACCATCATCCTCCTCCCTATCATCAGCATCATCACCACCATCATCATCATCATCATCATCATCATCATCATCACCATCACCATCACCATCACCATCACCATCACCATCACCATCACATCATCATTATTATTATCATCACCCTCGTCTTGCATCATCTCATCACCGCAACAAGCCCCACCATCAGCAGCATGATCATCATCGTCAACATCATGGTCACCGTCGCCGTTTACCTGCACCATTATCATCGTCACCACCACCATCATCATCCCCTCAGGATCATCATCCCCACATCATCATCAGCATCATCATCATACTCATCATCGTCATCTCCATCATCACCATCCTGCTCCTCCTCCTCATCATCATCGTCGTCGTCATTACTCTCTTCATCACCCTCATCAGCATCACCAACATCAGTTTAACCGTCGTCATCATCATCAGGATCTCAATCCACACGTTTGGTGGCCCAATAGGGAGCTCCGCCGAAGGCTCTGGTGGCAGGATTCGCATGCGTGCTCGGGCTCATTTCGGCACACCCCTCGCTCGTCTCGTGTCACACACCTCGCACGTTTCTTGGCTCCACAGGGAGATCCGCCGAATGCTCCAGTCGCAGGGTTCGCATGCGTACTCGGGTCCACTTTGGCACATCCCGCACACGTCTCGTGGCCCCATAGAGAGATCCGCCGAAGGCTCTGGTGGCAGGGTTCGCATTGCGTGCTCGGGCTCATTTCGGCACACCCCTCGCTCGTCTCGTGGCCCCACTGGGAGCTCCACCAAAGGCACCAGTGGTTCGCATGCGAACTCGGGTCCATTATGGCACACCCCTTACACGTTTCGTCGCCCCATAAGGGGGCTCCACCGAAGGCTCCAGTGGGAGGGTTCGCATGCGTACTCGGGCCCATTTTGGCACACCGCTCACACGTTTCTTGGCCCCAACGGGGAGCTTCACTGGAGGCTCCAGAGGCAAGGTTCGAAAACGTGCTCGGGCCAATTTTGGCACACCACTCACACGCTTCGTGGCCCCATAGGGAGCTCCGCCGGAGGCTCCAGTGGCAGGGTTCGCATGTGTACTCGGGTCCCACGTCGGCACACCCCTCACACGTTTGCAGACCCCATGGGGAGCTCCGCCGAATGCTCCAGTGGCAGGGTTCGCATGCGTACTCGGGTCCACTCCGGCACGCGCCTAACACGCTTCGTGGCCCCATAGGCAGCTCCACCGAGGGCGCGAGTGGCAGGGTTCGTATGCGAAGCGTCCGTGGGCACTGCATATTCCTCAGTATGTTCACGTGCATTCAGCTTTTCAATTCATACGCGCCACTCGTCTACAATGGTTTGTGTCCTTCGCCAGGGTATTTTTCCACGACGTCGGATCTCAGGGAAGGCGAAGGAGCGGTTTCTAAGAAGGCGCAGGGTCTCTTCGAAACTCTCCATGCTTCTGGGAGGTCTTCTCATAGGACCCAAACAACAAGGAGAAGGATGAGGGGGGTGAGAGGTGGAGGAGGAGGGGGGGCAGGAGGATGACGAGGACGTGGAGGAAGGGAAGGAGGACGAGGAGGACGAGGAGGAGGAGAAGGAGGATGATGAGGAGGAGGAGGACGATGAACACCGAGGGGGACAAAGAAAACGAGCAGGAGGAGGAGGAGGACCACTGTAACCCCAGGACTCGTCAACGATGTTGCACGAAACCCTCCCTACAAGTTCCCTTTTCACAGGTCCCTACAATGGTTCATTTTCAATGAGAGGAGTGCCCCGTTGGAAGAAACCGTCTGAGAACCCTTAACCGTGCCAGCACACCATTCCTGGGACGTCAACGCAGAGTATCAACATTACCGTTGCGTACAGACAATCCTGAATCGTGCCAGAACATTATTCCTAGGACTCGAACACCGCGAATCAACGTTACAGTTGTGCCCTCACGCTCTTACATCGTGCCAGATCACCGCTTCTGGGACGTATGAAGCTCTCTCAAACTTTTGGGGCGAAGATTGCAAACTTTTGGGACGAATGTGCGCGGCGCTGAGGCGAGAGCCAAATTTTGGAAACGGCCCGCTCCCCCTCCGTGAAGCTCTTGCAAGTTTTTGTAAGCAAACAACGAGTGCTCGCGGCGCGAAGGCGAGGGCCACATCGCGAAGGCGAGGGCCACATCTTGAACACGGCCCGCCCTCCATCCGCGAAGTTGTTGGAACTTTTCAGCTCAAGGTTTATGAGTGGTGCGGAGGTCTCGAGCGAAACGCCCAGCCGGCCCTACCGACACGCCTCGGGATGCGACAGGGAGGAGCCGAGGGAAAACAAGGATGAAGGGGAGGATGTTTAGTAACATTCCTAAGGAAAAGGAGTCGAGGACGAGGAGGGGAGGAGGAGGAGGAGGAGGAGGAGAAGGAGGAGGAGAGGAAGGTCGAGGAGGAGGAGGAGGAGGGCTCTGCTCAAAACCTCCCTCGCCCTCTGAGAAGCCTCCCCCGCCCTGTTCGACGGTCGCCCGCCCTCGAGCCATCCCTGAACGGTGCGCGCCGCCGAGGACATGCCCGGGCAGGCCAGGTCGCTGGAGCTCACCGCCTCGGACTGCCAGCGGCGGTGCAGCGAGGTGGCTTTCTTGCCCCCTCCACTGGGGGGGGAGGAGGAGGGTCAGAGGAGGAAAAGGTACCCATACCGCTACCCTTCTGCCGTTTGCGCCTTGGGCCTCCTGGGCCTCCTGGGAGGCCCTCGTCGCCACCGCTGGATTCGCCTCGGAGTTCTAGCCGGAACGAAACCCAGGAGAGGTCCGGAGAGCAGCGGCGTCGGTACCTTTCGGTTTCCCCAGGGGGTGGGAAGTCAGAGGAGGAAAAAGTAACGATACCGCTAATTACCTCTACCCCGTTGGCGCATTTTTGTCGGCCTCCTGGGAGGCCCTCGTCGCCACCGCTGGATTCGCCTCGAGATTCTGGTCGGAACGCACCCGGGGAGGGTTGGGGGGGCAGAACGTTCGCGTTTCTACGATTTTCATGCTGCTGGAGATGATGACAGCGATGATGAAGATGCTTTGTGCTCTCGGTGGTGCAGATGATGACGACACATCTGACGCTTGCTATCTCAGGCTCTCGGGTACGGGCGCTCTCTGGCCTGGCGCGCCGCTACTTTCAGCCGACCGAGAATGGAAAGCACATCCACTCTCTATAATGTAGGCCATCGGGCCCCCGCGGCCGCGGGCGCGCCCAAGTTCAGGGCATGGCAACCATGCTCAGATTTTTCAGGAAAAAGGCACGTCGTAGTATTTCTCATCAGTAAGTGGATGGTCCTTGATGAGGTAGCAGCGCGCCTGGTTCTCGTTTGTCACGTAGCGCCACTTCACGCGGTCCGAGTCAGGAGCTTCCCGCCGTACTTTTTCAACCACCTCCTCAGGATACCCCACTTGCTCTCGATGGCGTTGGTGGTGAATCCTTTGGCGTTCACGATCTCGCCATCTTCGTAGTCCAGTGGCTCGTGGCGCAGGGTGTTCTGCGTGAGCCCCTTCTGGCGGCGAGTGGCTTTCGCGGATGATCTGGTCGCACGCCATTTGTCCGAGACAAAAATGTCGCCCTTGCTGAAGTTGAGCATGTCGAGGTTGTCCTTCATCTCCTTGTGCCCGCGGGGCTTGCCGTCCTTTGCGTCTGCGGGGTGTTCCAAGATGCGGTGCGTGAGGTGCGTGCGGGCATTCCCTTGCGGCACGGTGCCCCATATCCAGATCTGGTCCTTCTTGGGGCGCGCCGCCTTGTTCAACTTCCCTGGCTTGTTTTCGTTCAGGAACGACTCGTCGGCAATGTGGGCGCGCTTGCTGATCGCCTTTCGTTGGCTTGCGCCGCGAAGTTCTTGGACACCTTCCGCGCAGGTTTCTTCTTCTGCTGTGCGACCTTCATGGCGGGGCCTTCTTCGGCGCGGGTCGAGCAGCGGGCCGCTTGCGCACGCCCACACCTTCTTAATCGAGTTCGGACAAATGAGGTCGTACCAATCGCCCGGGCGCTCCCTGAAGGCGAGTAGCCAGGCGTCGGTCACCTTCTGGTCGATCTGGGGCAGCTCGAAGATGATGGCCTTGTGACTATAGCCAGCGAGCCACACAACCAAGCAGCCCAGTTTGTCCATCCCCCCGTTTGTGTACCTTCGAAAAACGTCATGTTCTCGGCGCTCGGCGGCTTCCCGTCGCACTCGTCACAGCCCCCGTCGTGCCGAGGGCCCCGCCAATTCAGTCGCTCTCCGCCTTCGTCCCTCCTCCCGTACTTCAGAACGTACTCCGCATCGCACGAGGGCGCGCCATGCCTTTAGAGGCGAGTCCGAACGCCTGTGCAAATCCGAGCGCCCTCCCAACCTCGCTTTCTGGCAACACTTCGGGGTTCTTTACAGTGACGTCCATGACTTTCTTGAGAAACTCCCCGCGGTTGATTCCGTCCATGTCCGTGGCGGCGGCGGGGAACTCGTTCCAGTTGTCGTAAACGGCCATGCTGGGTGAGCCTTTTCTCTGTGGCGGTCCTTGGTCTTTTTGTGCTCCACCTGCTCCCGTGTTCTCCTTGTTGTTCTGCCCGGCCTGTTCGAGCTTCTGCTTACGCTTGGCGCTGGTTTCCGCGAGCGTTTTCGATTCTCTTTCGGCCAGAGGCCGCAGCGCGCTGACCAAGCCGCTGTGCTTGTTACCCGCCTGTTGGCCGCGTGGGCATTTCCCATGTACTCTGACACCTCCCATTTGAGCTCCCGAACCACCGCTCTGGCCTTGGCCACCCACGCCGCTTTCACCCACGGCTTCTTGACCCACCGCTCGAATGAAACCTTGCGTTTCCGATCGCGCGTCGCGATCGCCTTCCACAGGCGCGCGGCGACAGATTATGCAGGCATGGCACGACCCGTCAAAGTTTGAACGACATCCCCTCCTCTTGTCCCCCGCTAAGGGGCTCCGAAGAGGCCTCAAACATGCCTCCTTCGCCATATCCATAATATCCTCCTCCTCCCTCCCTCCTCCCTCCCTCCTCCCCCTCCGCCTCCTCCTTGTCCTTCTCCTCCTCCTTCTCGTCCTCCTCCTCCTCCTCCTCCTCCTCCTCCTCCTCCTCCTACCTCCTCCTCCTCCTCCTCCTCCTCCTCCTCCTCCTCCTCCTCCTCCTCCTCCTCCCCTTCATTCCCACTCCTCCTCCTCCTCCTCCTCCTCCTGCTCCTGCTCCTCCTCCTCCTCTCCTCCTCCTCTTCCTCCTCCTCCTCCTCCTCCTCCTCCTCCTCCTCCTCCTCCTCCTTCTTCTCCCCATCCCAAACAGAATCCCCCTTTTCGGAGCAAAATCAAGCAACACCCTTGGAACAAAAACCCAACACATACAACACAAACGACAATCCTGAAGGACCCCCCCCGCCCCGCCCCCCAGAATGCCCCCCAGGATGCATTGCTTTAGGATTTGGCGTGCTTAGGATCCGTAATGTGATTCTGATTGGGATGGGGAGGAGGAGAAGGACAATGAGGAAGAGGAGGAAGAGAAGGAGGAGTAGCGGGAGGAGGAGGAGGAGGAAAAGGGAGGAGGAGGAGAAGGAGGAGGAAGAGGAATAACCATTTTGAAATGGCCCAAGGGCGCCCCCCACGGGAGATCCGTGCAAGGAAACATGAACATCGCAAAAACGCGGGGTGCCGTGATGTCCCCGACCCCCCCCCGGGAGAGATCCATGGGGTAGCGGTATCGGTGCCTTGTGGTTTCCCCAAAGTTGTTGGGCCCGCAGACCGGGCGACACGGTGGGCACCCAGGGGGCAGCTTGCACGCATATTTTGCAATCCGTGTGTGTTAGGATTTTGCCTTGACGAGGGTCGGTGCCAATTGTTGGGGCCATGTTGGTGTCCTGTGGGTGGTTGATGTTCAAAGCGCCCTCCGAGGCAGATTGCCGAGGATGTCTCAAGCGAAATAGTCATTATTGAGACTGGGGGTCTCTTCCGAAGCCTATTTGTCGACGCAGTCCCTGGGGAAATTGGCTGCAGAGTCCTCTCCGAAGCCGAGTTGTCGAGGATGTCCCTAGCGAGACGACAGTTTTTCCCGGCGGAGCCGGGTGAAATTCCGTGCCCGCGGGTGACTGACTGACTGATTGACTGACTGATTGACTGACTGAACGTCAGGAGGGCGCCTTGAACAACACATTTCAAACCGCCCGCGGACGCGCAACTACAAATGGGCGGCGCATTTCGACCCGTCCGCGGGCGCGCAACCGCAACCGCACCTGAGCGACACATTTCAACCCGCCCGCGGGCGCGCAACCGCAACCGCACCTGGCGTCACATTTCAAACCGCCCGCGGACGCGCAACTACAAATGGGCGACGCATTTCGACCCGCCCGTGGGCGCGCAACCGCAACCGCACCTGAGCGACACATTTCAACCCGCCCGCGGGGGCGCAACCGCAACCGCAACTGGGCGACACATTACGACCCGCCCGCGGGCGCGCAACAGCAACCGCAACTGGGCGCCACGTTTCGACCCGCCCGCGGGCGCGCAAGAGCAACCGCACCTCGGCGACGCATTTCGACCCGCCCGCGGGCGCGCACCCGCAACTGGGCGACGCATTTCAACCCGCCCGCGGGCGCGAAACCGCAGCCGCAACTACGCGACGCATTTCGACCCGCCCGCGGGCGCGCGACCGCAACCGCAACTGGGCGACACACTTCAGACCCCCCGCGGGCGCGCAACCACAACCGCAACTGGGCGACGCATTTCAACCCGCCCGCGGGCGCGCAAGAGCACCCGCAACTGGGCGATGCATGTCGACCCGCCCGCGGGCGCGCGACCGCAACCGCAACTTGGCGACGCGTTACAACCCGCCCGCGGGCGCGCAACCACAACCGCAACTGGGCGACGCATTTCAACCCGCCCGCGGGCGCGCAAAGGCAACTACGCGGCGCATTTCGGCCAGCCAGCGGGCGCGCAACCGCAACCGCAACTGGGCGACGCATTCCAACCCGCCCGCGGGCGCGCAAGCGGAACCGCAACTGGGCGACGCATTTCAACCCGCCCGCGGGCGCGCAAGCGGAACCGCAATTGGGCGACGCATCTCAATCCGCCCGCGGGCGCGCAACCGCAAGTGGGCAACGCATTTCAACCCGCCCGCGGGCGCGCAACCGCAACCGCGCGTGGGCGACGCATGTCAACCCGCCCGTGGGCGCGCAACTGCAACGCGCACCGCTCACCTGCCGCCCTCCTCCAGGGGATCTGGGGCGGAGGAAGCGGGGGCAGGCGGGGGAAAGGGGGAGGGGGGGGGGTAGGGGGGGGGGGGGGGGGGGGTGCGGAGACGGAGGGGGGGTGGAGAGATCACAATGGTTGGGGACGGACAACTTCTGCCCCCCCCCTCCCCGTTCCACGCAAGTGGATCTCCGCAAGGCCGCGAGGCCCCAGGTCCTGCATTTCTTATCCAAGGCCTCCACGGCCTGCTAGCGGGACGGTGGGTCAACCGCCCCCGAGGGGGGGGGCGAGGCTTTGACAGACGCGGTCCGTTGCACCGCCAGTTTGAAGTTGGGGGGGGGCGATGCCGCGGGGGTCGACGCGCGTTCGCCCGCTCGCAAGCTGCCCGCGGGTTTATTTGCGTCGGCGCCGTCTGATTCACGCAGCCTGCCGCGTCTTATCCA